ATCCTGAAGGAGCCAAACTTTTCGATATCTAAATGTTGAAATAGAAAAATTGCGGAACAAAATATGTGCTGAAAAACGTGCGGAAGAAACAAGAGTTCTATAAAATACTGGAAAAAATAAATAAGTAAAAGTAAAATTACATGAACAGAAAATGCCTTGAAAATGAAAATAAATTTCACTAATGAGAAAACTGTATGAAAGTAAAAGTATTCTAACACACTAAGAAATAAACTGTTGAATTTACTGAACCAAACTGGTTGCACTGAGCCAGGTTGAGTAAATTGAGCGATATATGTGTATTCTTTGCTCTATTTACTCGACTAGGCTTAATGAGCCAGTCAAGTAAATTCAACACTTTATCTTTTAGAGTGCATAAACATCTTCTTWAAAAAGTTCAAATGTATTTAATTTTGTAAAGGGTAACTTGGTGTTACATTTTAAAGAAGTAAAAGTATCATTTTTAGTTTTAAAAGGAAACAAAAGTAGCTATTTAAAAAAACTATTGGTAAAATTACAAATCCTCAAAAAAACTACGTAAGTACTGTAACGAAGTAAATGTACTTAGTTACTATAAACCTCAGAGACAATGACGTCAAACAAAAGACAGGAACATGTGCAAACAGTTTATTGATGATTCAGGATACAACACAGTAAAGCATCTTCGCTCTCTCATCTGAGGACTCTKGGGGCGTCCATCCAGTGCCTGATTAAAAAGCACTTAGTTCACTGCTGTGATCTGATTGCCACTGCTGCTCTTCGTATGAAGAATAAAACCTGAAGAATTAAATAAATCTAGATGCAAAGGRTGGTCGATCTTCTGCTCACTGTGACAAACAGGAAGTTATAAATACACAACAGTCCACATGTCTGAATGTTGAAATGTTTTCCTACTGACTGTATGTTGTCATTACAGTAAATGATCATCAGATTGCACTTCAGAGCAAAGACGAATATTTGTACACAAAGTAATCCTTTACTAAAAATACATTAAGTTACATTTTCCAAATAAATATTGGTCCGTTTTTCTTGGTATGCCATCTTCCTGAGACACTTTCATGCACTACAGATTCTCGTTTTCACCCACGACTCTGCTCAGCCTTCAGTCAACACACCGTTTGATTCGTCTTCACGCTCGTTTCAGCCGTCTGCTTGTGAGGTCAACCTTCATCGCACGACTCGCTCTGTCACCTGTGCACACGGCGAGATGTCACCCGAGCCGAGACCGACCTGAACCTGTGCTAAAATGTCATGTATACGAACTTGCATGCTGACGAGTAATAACAGTCTTAYAGCCAAAGTTTTTTTTTTAACTTTTGAAAATATTGACGTGTTTATGGAAGCTTTACTGTCTTCAGTTTCACAGTATCAACACGGTTCTCCTGGTCTGCTCAACAGGCTCTGTGCAACTTTTTGGCAGTTTGGAGCTGAGCTTCAGTCTGCTGAGCTTGCTGGTATAAAAAACACACACACATGCGCACACAAATACACACACAGTACCTTTTATATCAACACAGCCTTCATTCTCACCATTTACACCACTATTATTGCTTTTGCATACGACTATTGCTGTACAGAATGGGGTAACAAACTGTCCACTTGCTGGTCAAATAAAAGAAATTGTTCCTGATCTTTAAAGGGCCTGTGACATCAAATTTTTGTAATAAACATGAATGCATGTTTGGAAAGAGACCATTGATAACATACTGCAAAACAAATTTCACATCGCTGAGATGAACAGTTGTTAAGATATTGGCATGTGAAGAAACAGGAAGTGATGTCAAAGGGGAATGTCTGCATGTAAACAGAGCGTTGTTACAACAGCTAATAACACAGACTGTAGAGAAGAATCTGATGTTTCTTTACATTATTTTTAGTCGCCACCAAAGAGAGACGAAGAAGAGTTAAAAGTTTAAATAATTTTGTTTTAATAAACTGAGACCAGCGAGTTAATTTTACTAATTGAGATCCCCTTTGATGTCACTTCCTGTTTCACTTTGGCCGAGCCAAATTTAAAAGAAAATAGGCCAGTTATGGGACAAAATGGGTAAAATCGTGTGTTAATGCCAATTTCCTTAAATATAAAGATGCTTTCCTTGACCTTTTGTATTTGAAGGACAGGTGTGTCACAGGCACTTTAATCTTCACAGAAAACAGATCTAATAAAGAATCCACAGTCGGGTACAGTACACAGTCAGGTACAGTACACAGTCAGGTACAGTACACAGTCGGGTACAGTACACAGTCAGGTACAGTACACAGTCAGGTACAGTACACAGTCAGGTACAGTACACAGTCAGGTACAGTACACAGTAAGGCAGCCAATTGTGAGCGTCTTTTCAAACGTTAGACACGGCGCTGTTAGCGTCCCTCGCCTGCCGGATGCCGTAGAGCCACTTGATGACTCGTGCGTTCCTCTCGATGATGGAGATCCCGTAGGGGACGCGTTCGCCGGCCCTCAGGGGCCCGTCCTCGTCGTCCTCGTCCCCTCCCCGCACCCCCCTCCGCTCGGCGTCGTCCCCGCACTCGGAGCTGGAGGTGCTGACGCTGCGGAGCTTGGAGACGGACACGATGTCGGAGTTGGCCCGGGTGAAGCGCTCCACCCCTCCCATGCCCTCCACCTCGCCCGGGTCCAGCCCGCAGTAGTTGAAGAAGCGCTCCAGGTCGGCCGTGGCGCGGGAGTAGCGGTCGCTCAGGTCCGACTTGGAGCGGTGCAGGGCGGGGTGCTTGCGGGATGAGCCCTTGGAGCTGGCGTTGGATATGCGGGTGAAGGCGGGGGAGGCCGGGGGGATCATCCGCGCTCTGACCAGCAGGGGGCTGGCCGGGAGGTAGGCGGGAGCAGGGGGCTGGGTTTGGGACGACGTGTTGACCTTGTGGGGGAGTTGAGGACGTTTCTGTGACGGGGGAGGGGGCGGCGGGACCTGGGGGTGCGGGACCTGACCCTGGGCCGTCTGTCGGGGTCTGAGCGGGAGCTGCAGCTGACACCGCTGCGGCTTCTTTACCTCGGCGTGAGGCCGGACGTCCACCCTGCGCACCGTCACAGAGCTGGGAGCGCTGGGAGGCGCTGCGACCCCACGAGGGGCTCGCGCCGGGACGGGGGGAGGACGACGGGTCAGTTCTGTGACGGGGACTCGGGGGGTGCTGCTGAGAGGCGAGGAGGAGCTGGAGGAGCAGTTGTTGGTAGCAGGGTTTAATGGTTTCAGGTTGGTGAGGAGTCTCTTGCTCTTGTCCTGCTCTGCAGACAGGCTGCTGCAGATGCTCTTCACTCCTGAGGACGGCGAGGACGAGGACGGGGACGTGGACAAAGACGACTGCGTTCCGTCACAAACGTCCCCGATCAGATTATTCAGGATGTCCAAACTGAAAGCGGGCCTTCTCTCGCCCACTCTGTCCCTGCCTCCGCTGTTCTCCGGATCAGCGGGACAGCGGGGAACCTTCCGGGCCAGGGGAGCGTTGATGTGGCTCTGAGGCATCATGGCCGGAGGGAGGAGGGGCTTGCGGATGGGGGGTTGGATGGGCGCCTGGCGGGTGAGGGCCACCTGCTGGCTCTTCACGTACTTGGCCTTGTCGGCCTCCAGACGCTCCACGGCGCTCAGCTTGCGGGTCCCCGGTTCAACTGAAGGGCGGAAGTATCCGGGGCCCTTGTTGAGGATCCTGAAGGGCATGGCTGAGGTGAAGGGGACCCCCGCCAGCCGGCCGTCTGAGGGGTGCAGCGTCTCCACCGGCATTCTGGAGGAGCTGACGGGAAAGAGAAAAAAAACATTTCTTTAGCCACAATTTTGAGTTCAAAAGTGTAAAAATAATATTTCAGCTGAGCGGAACAAAAATGTATTTAAGAAACCTTCATGAAACAGTCTGTGTTGTAAAGGAGAAGGTTTGAGTCGAAGTAAAAACTCTCAGGACAGACAAGCATTAATGAAGCTTTAATGGTTGATTTGTTTGTTTTTCAATCCTCCACGTTTTCTATCAACTCAAGGTGGATCTCACTCAAAAATAAATATAATCTGTGTCTCAATTCATGGGTTGTAGTCGACGTCGGCTGCTTACATCACTGCCCCGCGCCGTAGGCTGTCCCAATCCGTAGGTGCCTACTTATGCAGCTGACAAAACCTCGAAAACCCAAGAGTATCCTACGCTGTCAAGTTGGCGAAGGGTTTCTTTATTTTACGGCTGAGTTTTTTTTCTTAAATTCATCACTGACCAAAGAATGTAAGTTAAATAAATTAGCTGAAGAAAGTTTTGTTGCAATGAGATATTGAATAAAATGCAGCTACAAGTACTGATTCTGGAGCTAAACTCGTATTATTAATGTTTTTTATTTATTTACTTGTAACGTTTTTTTAATTAAAGTGCCTGTGACATGAAATTTTAAAAATAAATGTAAAAAGGCATTATTGGAAAGATAACATTATTAGAATATTGCAAAAATAATTTCCCGCTGCTGAGATGAACAGTTGTTGAGATATTTGCATGTGAAGGAACAGGAAGTGATGTCAAAGGGGAATGTCTGCCTGGAACAAAGCATTGATAAAATGGCTAACGACACAGACTGTAGAGAAGAATCTGATGTTTCTTTTTATTATTTTGAGTCTCTATCAGAGATGATGAGTGAACGTTCAAATAATATTGTTTCAATAAAAAWYGTTTAMGGAATTGTCTGTTAAAGAGTTCCCCTTTGATGTCACTTCCTGTTGCACTTTGGCTGAGTCAAGTTCAAAAGAAAATATGCCAGTTATGGGACAAAATGTGTAAAATCACATGTTTTATGCAAGGTTTCTTATATAAAATGTATTTTCTTTGACTTTTTGGATTTGATGATGTCACAGGCACTTTAAAACTTAATTTTGTGAAGTTGTAACTTGAAGAAACAACTGAAGCAGTGATATAAAACATAACAAGGCAGAATGTGTTTACCTAAACTTATGTCTTCTGTAGACCAGACCRTCTCTTTTATGTCAGCTGTAACCCATGAACTGAGACAGTGTCAGTTTACAGCTGCTCTCCTGAAGTCAGCTGTGTGTTTGTGTTGTGAGCAGGCAGAGCTCACCATGTGCAGAACTGTTTTCTTGGCTGTGCACATTATTTTATAACCAACCTGGCAGACATCCTCACTGATGTTTTAATCTGCAACTCTCAACAGGAAGTTGGGAACCCTAAAGTTAGGGTCCARCTAGTGGCAGCCCAGTGAGATATCGCCTTGAGAAAAGAGCTCTTTTGTACCCTCTTCATCCCCCTCCTCCATCTTTGGCTCCCCGTCATCTTCCTTACCGTTCGCCGATTTGCTGCTCTCCCTTTCGTCCTCCTTTCTTCTCTCTCCCCTCTCTCTCTCCTTTATCCTTCTTTACACCGGTATCAGTGAAAGGTTGCTGGTGGGACGGGGTCAGTCGGGGTCAAATTCCACATCAGGACTGACTAGACCACCTCTGTCAGCTGAGCGGTGACCCGGTCTGGGTTAGGCTGCAGATCTGGACCACCAGTCGGTCCTGGAGTCAATAAAACAGCCTTTTCTGGTCCTTTTTTCTTTAYGATTACTGTTCCTCTTTTCTGAAGAGTTTGAATCCAGCTGATTGGGCACAAGAAGCCAGTGGAGTCCTAAAGTCCTGGAGAGAGTTAAAAAAAGAAGAAGTCCAGGTAAGAAAATGGAAGCACTACTCTGCTTTTAGTCCGTTGCTGATTAACAGAAAAACACCCACACACCAACAGACACACACTCCTCTCACACACAGACACACACACAGCTCTCCAGCTGACAGATGAGACTGAAGAGGAGCAAACAGGACCGGCTTTAAAACCTCGTCTGGCCCCTCCCAGCCGGCCAATCGCAGGGCGGCCTGGAGAGGGCCGGGAGGAGGGAGGCGCGCTCGCATTGGTCCAAATCAAAAAAAGGATCCTGGCCAATCGGGCCTCCCCGGCCCCCCTCTCCAATAAAACACTGAGGCTGAGCTTTCATTCAAATGAAAATTCATTGAAAGGGAGAAAGAGGGGGAGAGAAAAGAACAACGGACCAAACAGATGCAATCTTTACACCGGCTTGCATCAAACTCWGTGGGGTGCCTTGTTCTTTGTCTTTATTCTTTTCTTTTATTGTTCAGAGTTTGTTTTTACTGTATTTGTTACTGTCCTCACCTTCATTAGACAGACCTCATTAGCTGCTTTTAAATCATCACTTAAAACCCACTTTTACTCTCTGGCTTTTACTACATTATAGGATGTTGATAGTGTCTTTCAGATTTTCGAGCAACAAAATAATCACCAAATTTCTCTTGGCTCTAATTTAAAAAGAAAACAATCCTCCCACACACTTCATCCCTCCCTTTCTTCTTATCGTTTTTTTAGAGCATTACACTCTGAGGTTACATCACCTCTAATTATTTGTTTTTTCTCTCCACCTCTAACTTGTCTTTCCCCACATTTTAATTGGGCTTTTTATAACCACTTTTCCTTTCTGTCTGCTTCAACCTTGTTTTTTTCTTTTGCTGCCGTCTCTAAAAGGCAGATTAGAAGAGGAAAGGTGATAAAAGCAACACTTTGTGAGATGTCACATTTGGTWGAAAATTCATGGATTTTTTTTAAATCACAGAAACAACTGTTGCTTAAACTTTAACCAGAAGACAAACACAACCATGAGTTTAGACAGGTTTCATTTGGAAGACAGAAACTCTTCATGATTTTGTAGCCCTAAATATCTACTGAAATCTCATTCTCTTTATGATAAAACTACTTCCTGTCAAAACCTGTTCTTGTTCCACAGCCTGACTTCTGCATTCCTGTCTACAAAATAAACACACTAACGTGCCTAAGGTTGTGTAGTTCCCCTTTAACACACACAACAAACGCAGCACATGACACAACCGACACRTCACTGAAAACATACCTCACTGTCCCACAGCAAACACAGACACACACAAACATCCTCCRACACATGGTTACACAATCCAAACATGAGATTAATGGATTAAGTTTTATTGTTGCAGGTAAACATTTTTATTAGAAGTTGATTAATGAGTTTTTCTATGATTGATGCTGATGTTTAAAAATCAGGGCAGCTGATGGTCCATATTCATATTTAATGGTTTAACTTTAATAATAATATACTTGGTAAATGATTAGGCATGGACAGTGGCCTAAAAATGACAGTAGATTAGATGGCTTATATTTATGTTTAAACTGTTTTGGTTCTTGATTTTTGTCTTTTTTTTCTTAAACTGTGCAATAAAACAGTCCTGCATTAGACACAAACACTGAGTATACACAGAAACTGCTTCATGCAACAGAAAAATACATTTACTTAAGTAATTTTTGAGGGTGTGTAATTTTAAGTATTTTTTTTTATTGTAACTTTTACTTTAATTTCGTTCCATTCAAAACTCATCACAGGAGTTTTTCTGCACTAAAATAAAGACGTGTTGAATTTTCTTAACCAAACCGAGTTAAAGCAAAATAACTTGTTTTAGTGGAACCAGTTGATTTCATTTGGTTAGGAAAATTACTTTCACTTTCCTGATTACTGTGAGCAATTTTATGACTTTTGAAGTACTTTTCTTATCAGGGAAATTCATATTGGTAAAATCATTTTCTGTTAAGGTATTTTTACTTTTACTTACTTTCAGGTACTTTATACACCTCTGGTTAGACGTCAGAAAACTCAGGTTTGATTTTCTTTGTATCACAAAGATGAAAACATCCTTTTGGTTCAGACTTTGAGAGCAGATTCTGTAAGAACCAAACACTGTTCCAGCTTTGTCTTTTGGCAAACTGGGGGTCACCTGCATGACTGCAGAGGCCGCCAGGTATCATTAGCACAGAGAAAGCACAAGATGCCTATCAAATCTCTGCTGATAACCCAATCCCCCAACATCAATGCATTATTCAGACTCTTTGTTATTCTTTTTAATCAGCACAGACAGTTTCTGGAAACAATTATTGTCAACTTGCTAAATGAATTTGCAGCACATTGCTATCAGATCTGCTTTAAGTATGTAAATGTAACTTGTTATCTGTGGCCTGGCACTGAGAGGAGCCGTCTGCATGCAAATACAGTCAGCTCAGATAGCCGTTACAGCCAAAACCAGCAGCTATTGTCATTCGTTTTCTCACTAAAAGGAGAGTCAAACAGTTAAAATAAAAACCATGTGTGCAAATGATTCCTCCACCTCCTGCAACCATTGATGACCACTGTTAACCCACTCTGAGAGATAAATATAAACCAGGAAACAAGTCCGCCTCTCGTATTTCTTTACTTCTAATTCTCCTTATTTTGTGTTTTGTTCTGCAGTCGCACAAATAGCTGATGTCTTTAAAAATCAAAAAGCCACAGTGTCAGACCAAGAATTTATATTTCCATTCCATAATGGAAGCTGCTTGGTTTTATCATAAAAAAAAAAGAATGTGGAGGGACATTTGGTTTTCCAACCACAAAATAAGTGGATAGTGATGTGGCTTCTGACGTCTGCACTGTGTGCAAAAAGCCACAATTCAAAGCGTTTGTGTGTCAAGAGTGTGACATAAAACTGTGAAAAAGAGATGAACTGAAGAAAAACTGGGAGCGAATAATTACATTAACATTTGTACCTGGTGACTGAATAAACATGAACAGCAGTGTAAAAACTAAAAGAAAAAGAGGATGTAGCACTTTGAGGGTCCAAATGGTGAAGGACGAATGAAGGATTTGTGTGTGTGTGTGTGTGTGTGTGTGTGTGTGTGTGTGTGTGTGTGTGTGTGCGTGTGTGTGCGCGCATGTGTGTAAATATAGTGCGATACTGTGACGCCAGCTTGACTGTCCTATCAGAGTGGCCTTGTCCCAGCAGACACTGACCCCTGAGTATAGAAAACAAGACAAACTCCACCCAAAAGAAGTAATCAGAAACATCCTCTAAACCAATGTGAGTCCGACTGGAGGAAGTCTGTTTAAGTTTGATTACTGGGGAAAAAAAATAAAAGTACCGACGTAGTGATAGTGATGCTTCAAGGTAACGTGCAACATAAAAGCTCATGAGTTCAAACCTCAGTAGAAAATCTCAAGTTTGCAAAGCAGTTTGTGAAGAACTTATTTTTAAGACCAATCGGTTTGATTTGGTTTGATTTTATTTATTTAACAGGAAAAGATTATTAAAAATCAAGCCTGACTCAGCATAATTGCTGTTTTACAG